TAGAGATATATAGATATATATATATATATATATATATATATGACAAACTATTAATGCAGCCTGAGTGGAAAACCTGAGGTACACCACACAGTAAGGCAGGTTACTACAAATACTCTTATGTGACAGGTCAGATAAAGAACTGGAATTTCAACTGGACTGGAATTTCAAGTATATAAGTGAGAGTGCAACAAGACATTAATCTGTATTGAACGTTTCGATACGGTGGTCTCAGTTCAGTGTGTAACAATACACAATTTTATATTTAGTTGACGATGCACTCTGTGCTGAAAGCCCAGTGAAACTTGACTACTTCGGTGCATTGTCGATGGCAGCTCCACTGAGTCACCGTACCAACCCCCCTGAACCTTCCTGTGGGTGGTGAGTCCACTGGAAGGTACCAACCACCCTAACTGGGATTCAATCTTCACCCAGGAGGTGAACCCTGGGGTTCAACACCAATGACAGAGACATTGACTCTGGGCCAAAGCGCCACTATTACTATAATGATAGCATTAAATGTAATTATTTAAAAGCTATTCAAAGACTGTAGATTGGTAGTTGACCTTTCACCCAGGAGGCAGGAGTAAAATTCCAGGTGGCCTACCAGACACCCAGCTCCTGAGGAGATATGAGGACTATGCTGTAAATCAGGGGTGCCGTTACCCTTTGAGGAAGGAGAAGCCGTGGCTGCAGACTAGAATATTCCCGTTTGAGTCCACCTTCAGGAGGTTCCCATATGTGGTGTCCACCACCAAGCCACTGCACGGGGTGGAAGACAAAGACAACAAGTCAAAACCCGGGCTGTACTGTGTCACCTACAAATGCAGTCCACTGACCGTGTGGGGAAGCTGGGGTCATATGTGTAACGCAGAATCTCGTGAGGGTAACCAATGGAAACCATTCTGTCTCTGATCAGCTCGAAGCCCATGCTCTCGTACTCTGGAGACTTGTATACTGAAAACAAACAAACAAACACAGCTGAACAATTTGGTACTATGTGAAGAAGTCATCAGGTCACGTATCAGTCCTGCTGATCGGTCTTGTGACACCATGATCTTTGTGAGGACATACTCGCCAGAGTGTAGTCCATGTCAAAGCCGTAGCATTTGATGTCCTCCAGTGTCAGACTTCTGTTGACGAAAATCCTGTCAGCAAACACAGAGAACACAAACAGGGATCTTACTCAATCTGTGGCTGACTTGTTTGACTGATTTGTTTTAAAAAAATTCAATCCGCTGAGAACTGATCCCGATCTTCCCCCTTAGACTCATCACTTCTACATCTTTGGCTTTTAACTGAAGAACCTGTCTTTTGAGTTACAAATTTGAGTTAAAATAAAAACAAAAAAACAGATAGCTTACAAAAGACAGTGGTGGACACCACCAAACACTTCTACTGGTCCACTTCAGGACAATCACATTCTTCTGTCTGAACTGACGAAGTCTACTAGCTCTTCAAGAATTTCAGGCGGGTTTAATTGCATTCTTTAAATACGTCGCAGGATGGAGCCCACTTGTGAAGCCCAGACCTCCCTAACCCCATATTCCACAGGATGCTCTACAGCTGCATTGCGGCTGCATTGTGGTTGTGTTGCGGTTTACTGCTGCATTTAGCAGCCACTACAATCAATGAGAGGTATTCCACCGGCTGCGGCTGAGCGGGGGGTCCAGCTGTGGCTCAGCGGCGGCAGATCAGAATTTACAACCCTATATGTCCATTCCAGTGACACCAGGTCAGAAGTCAAACAGTCAGTGGAGTGGAAAACCACCAGACACACAAGCGCTCTTTCACAGAAGCAAAAATAAGCCAGGGCTTGTTGTTTACTTGTTTATACTGTCTGTTTATCACTGAATCTTAAAGTGAACTGCTCCTCAAGTCTCGTCCCTGCCGTAACACACCTGGTGGACTATAGATAGGAGCCGCAGCCCTAACCCATCCAGTGGAATATCAGGGTAAGGGTCACAGCGTGCAGGGGTGGAGGCTGGAGATGTTATCATCAACTACTGTGTCTGTTCTCAGATGCTCCTTTGATCAGTGACATCCTGACAGAGGCCCATCTCTCTGCCCACTGACACTTCATCCATATAGAGTTGCTGTAAATAATTTACCTGCAGGGCTCCTGTTCTGCATAGACGATCTGTTTTCTTGACACGTAAAAAAGTATATGTAAATACATGTGTATACAGTACAGGGCTGGCAGGGAGGGAGTGAGCCTGATGCCTCTTGTTTCAGTGTGTTTGAATTATTTAGTACCTCGTAACCAGAGATGAAAGAACACATCTGTGTTTTATTTTATTATAAGTTATTTTTACCATCACAACCAAATGTAAAATGAAGATAAAAACGACAAAAAAAAATCATCATAAAGCAACGAGTCTGTTTTGACCGTTCACTCCTGGGAAGTCTGTGGTGACGCTGATATTAATGTAATAAACTTACTTCTCGTCAAGCTCTGTCTTTAACCTGCCGTCATCAGGGTATGTGCTGTGGTCAGTGTCCATTTCTTCCATGTTGCTGCTGCTGTTGCTGCTGCTGCTGTTGCTGTTGCTGCACAACGCGTTCAGCCGTCAGTCATTGAGCCTTTATTTATGGACAACATCGCCTCCAGCGTTTTAAAGGCGTGGACCCGAATGTGGTTGTTTTCATGTTTACTCTGGTCAAGCCCCCGACTTTTCACTTCTGGGTGACGTCAGAGACAGTGTCACACACGCACACGGCCGCGGATCCCTTGCGCTGTGGCCAACGAGCGAGCTGGGACGCTTGTGTTTTGCGGCCCCAGATTGTCTTATCAGGAGCGCACACATGCGGCAGAGGTGCACGCCTGCGTAATTGGTAGAAGTTACTTGAGGACTGTCAGTCCTGCAGCGTTGTGACACGCAAGATTTCCCATCATGCTACTCTATTTATGATGATTTGTTTATTAAGATGATGTTGTGTGGTTATTTATTCATTACAGGGTAAACACCAGTAAACGCATTCTAAGACAAATTACTATAACAACAATAATAACAACAACAATAACAATAATAATAATCACTATCATCATAAATGAAGGTATTTCTCTAAATATTTTCCTTGTTTAAGTACTAAAGTATTTTTTGGTAGAATTCAAATTCCCAAATTTGCTTTTTTTGTGTGTGTGTTTTATGTGTTTTTGCCCTTCATTGATGCTCCCAGGCATACGTCAGACTTGGTTTTGTGTCCTAGATTATGATGTAACCACAAAATGCAGAACACTTGAAGCAGGTTTTCCCTTTAGAACCTGAATCTTGTGTACCAAATATGACACCAATGGTTACGAATGTGTACTGGAAAGGTCAAATGCAATGGTCAAATTCTGTGTGTGCCTCGACTAAAGGAAATAATCATACTGAACTTGAGAATATTTATTTAAATTTTATACTTTAAACCGAGGCATTAACAGAACAAAATGATTCGCAGACGTGTGGTCTCCCCAGGGAGAGGTCGAAAAGCATTTACATAAGAACACATCATGCCACTGAACACAGTCAGTCTTGCCCAGTAGCCTCTTCAAAGCTAAAGTTACCAAACCAGTAAGGACATAATACTTTAATTATTATTATTAATACTCTACAGAAAGGGGTTCCTCAAAAGCATTTCTGCAGCACCATTCTCGCAGGCCTGGCAGTCTCCTCTGTGCAGAAGAAGAAAGGCCAGAGATTCTGGAAGGAATGGCAGGTTGGAGAGCTGAAGAAGTGCCACGAAACCATTGAAAGAGAGGAACCAGGGCCATCGCTCCTCTGTATTGAGGGGCTCATTGGAAGAGAGACACCAACACATCATCAATGCACAGTGATATTTGAAATCATGACCGGGATCAGAGCAAATGAAACCTTCAAAACAACACTTCAAAAATGACACACTGCCCTTAGAAGATGTCTGAGATTTTGAAATCTCAGATTTTTCGCTTTTTGATTAAATATTTATATTGTAGACACATAAGTAAGAGTAGAATGGCGACAAAATGATGGAAGAATTAAAAATCACAAACTTCTGTTGGTTGTGAGTTTTGACAACAAATGCCTTCATTCAAGGTGTGCATGTACTCAATTTAACCCTCCAGCAGGGGGCACTGCTTTGAAACACTTTAGGTAGGCGTGGCAAGGAGATTTGATAATGTTTGTAACTTTGTAAAATAAAGTCGCTCACAACAGTGAACCTGGACTGTGTGGATTGCAATGGCAAACTGACCACCAGGGGACTTGAGTGGTGAGATTCATCAATGGCCAAAAACATTTTTCTTACATTTTACCTTTTTTGTGTAACACCTAGGAATGTTCGATACAGACGTTTTGCTGATATCCGATAAGCCGATATTGTCCAAACACTTAATTTGCGATTCCGATATCATCTGATACCATCATTCAGATGACTGCTCCTGTACAGAGATAAATACATTTTCTTCTTTATCAGATTTATTTTACCTTTAAAATATTTATATGATTTTAAATTTAAATCATTGTGAAAGTGAAGTGTTTTCTGTTAACTTAATTAAATGGCATTGTAAGAGCTAGCTGCTGTTTCATTTATTCTAATTCCTCCTCCATTGCAAATTATGCCAGGTTTGGGCATGAAATTCCCAGGCTGGAAAAGGGGCCTACTCTGGCCCTGCATATATAAAATAAGACGCTTGGCAATACATAGATTATGAGTGGGTAGTATGTTGGAAGAATATTAGTATTTATAGCTCTTTATTGAACAGTCTGGTGGCTGATGGGAGTAAAGACTTAGAAGCAGTAGACGCATACTCATTAAGCAACAAAATGGCGGGCAAGATGGCGCCGGTATGTGTGGTCTGC